ATCCTCTATAATATCCTTTATAAGAAACCAGTAAAGATAAGTAAAGCATTTACCTGTGTTCTGTGAGCCATTATAGCAAATTACTGAACCTGAGGGGTTGTGGGAACCCCCAATTTGTAGCCAAGCTCGACAGAAGTGAGGGTATCCTAGGCACACAGTAAGAGCAACAGGTGTCTGAAGTGGGGGGAAGTCTTGTGGGACTAAGCCCATAACATGCAGAGTCTGCTGTAACTCTGGGTAGTGTCAAAATTGAATTAAATTGTAGGACACCCCATTACTGTCTGCAGAGAACTGGTGAATTGATTGATGTGGAAAACCTACACATTTGGTGTCAGAGTGTTGTTAGTATAGAAAAACTGTATTCCTTTACAAGATATGACCTCATATCCAGAAGAACTAAAAAAATATTACCTACGAAAAAACTTAACACATAACATATAAGAGCTAAAGAGCAGGGTACTCTATAGAATAAAGAAAGGCAAACTTCTTACCCCATTTAACATTTTCCCTATCATTTAAAATAAAAAAGTCAAGGATGGCCCACCTTTTTAGCCTTTGTTATTCAGAAAGAGTACAAATTAGGTGGATTCAGAAAACATGAACGAAACCAGTAGAATAATCTCATTCATTAAGCAGAAACTATTTGGACAGGATGAGCATGTCTTTTGTCCATTCTCAAGGCTCTGATGTTGCCTGACAACACCTGCCTGCTGAAGCCTAACGTCTTTGCCTCTTTTTTTTTTTTTTTTAGTTGTATAATTTTTTTCTTTAGACACATTCAGCCAAATTTCCACTATGTGGAATAGCCATATTTGATATTTTGTTACTTTTTTTTTTTCGTCTTAGCCTCTTTTTGTGACAGGATATTTTTCCCTCTCTCACAGCCAGCCCATATGGAGGAAAAGCAACAGAGCCAAGACCTTTAGGACCAGTTGGACATTTTCTGGTTTTTCTATATCGGCGGTTCTCAACTGGGGCAATTTACTTCCTAGGGGACCTTGACAATGACTGCAGTCATTTTTCATTATTGTAACCTAGTGGTGAGGGGAGGTGCTTCTGGCATCTACTGGTGGGTAGAGCCCAGAGATGCTGCTAAAGGTCCTACAGGACACAAGACAGCACGTCCTCCCTCCCCAACAAAGAATTATCCAGAAATGCATAAGTCTGCTAGGGCTGCCATAACAAAAAACAGACTGGGTAGCTCAAAAACATAACTTTGAAGAGAGCAATGTCACCAAGATGGCAAAATTGATGATCCTGGCAATGCTCCCTGCAACAAGTGATCAATTTACATCTATTAAAACAAAAACTGCCATCCTGTAATCACCGGAGCCTGGGGAAAGAGGAGGAGAGACCCTCTGAGTTCATGAAGGTGTTGAAAGCCATGGCAAACAGGAGAAAAGGCCCACCCTGATCAGATCCCCCCCCAGTTGCTCCCATACCAGGCCGGCTTGGCACAATGCATGTAGCAGCTACCTGGAGCCAGCAAAGCCATAGCAGTACCCTTTGTGTGAAGCTACTAGGAGTCTACAGGACAAAAAGGGTGCTATGACCGCTGGGGGAGAAATAATCACTTCGGAGTGCACCACCTCATTTCCCAGGCCACGAAAACTGCTGGCAAGTTTCCCCGGTGCCTGCTTAGGAGGCGAAAGTACTGTACCCAAGAAGTGTCCTTCAAACACGAAGAGATAAAATGCCCTCCCAGACAAACGAAGGCTGAGGGAATTCATCACAGCAGACCATTCTTATAAATCGCTAGAGATGGACCGGCCCGTGGCTCACCTGGGAGAGTGTGGTGCTGATAACACACAAGGCCACGGGTTCGGATCCCCTTACCTGTCATCTTTTTTGGGGGGGGGGCGGGGGGGGAAGCGCTAGAGAGAGCTCTTCCACCTGACAGATGATGCTGACATGCAACACTACCACACCTGAAAGTACAAAAGTCACTGGTAATGCAAGTATCAAAACAAACTCAGAAGACACCCAAACTGCAACGATGATGAGAGAACCGCTCCCCGCCCTGTCCCCGGTGGCCGCGTCTCCCGCCGCACTCACCAGGGCCCCGGACCCGAGATCACAGCCCCGCGACCCCGAGGCCACAGCCCCGCGACCCCGAGGCCACAGTCCCGCGACCCCGAGGCCACAGTCTGGCTGCACCTGCTCACCCGGCCCGGCCCCAGCCCCGCCCGCCGGCCGCTCCGCAGCAGCCCGCAGAGAAGGCGAGCCCGGTGCGGGGAGGGATGGCGGGCGGCGCTGCCTCTTCTGAGGGGAGGAGGCGCCCAGTTTCCAGTCCCTGCCGGCGCCGGGCGTCCCGCCGTCTCCATCCCCTCCCATCCCCCGCCGCCCTCCGCCGCCCCTCCCTTCCCCCACTCGGGGCTCGGGGGTCCCTCTCGAGGCACCCCGCGCCGCCCTCCTCTCAGCCCGACGCTACCTCCCCCGCCTCGGTGGGGAGTCACAGCCCCTCACCCGGCCCTACCTGCTCCGCCGGCCGCTCCCCTCGCAGCCTTCTCAGTCCACCGCGCCGCCCCGCCCCTCACTCTCAACCGCACTCAGTGGGTCTCAGGAGACTCGGGCGCTTCCGCCGCCAGCACAGCGGGGACATCCGGGCTCCGCCTCCCGGCAGGAGGGGGCCGTGACTCTGAGGGAGGAGCCGACGCGGGTTGGACGGGCGGGCCGGATGCGAGAATTAGTCCCCACCCCCGGCGCACGGCCCTCACGCCCCTGCCGCCCAGCCGGTCTCCTCGCCCACTGTGGGATCTCCACAGGGTCCTGGGGTCTTCTCCCCACTGAGGCGGGGAGAAGGAAAAATACTTGGGAAATGGATATGACTCACCAGTTACTGCAGTCCCCTCATGCAAGGCAGTGTGATGGCAGAAAGATGGTAGGAAGCTGAAGTTTTCAAGTCCGTAGAGTCAGAATTGATTCCAAAGATCACTGGTCTTTAATTGGCCATCTGGTACAGAGGTTTAATCTTTGAATATGCCTTTTATGTATCTTAACTTATGAGATATGTGGAAGCTATAAAAGAGGCAACTGCTTAGGGGAATTGGCTGAATTTAGCCATCTTCTCTGTCTTGTTATACCTGGTTCTATTTCATGTTGTTCCTAGCAGAGTTGAACTTGATGCACTGCATTATCTGCAAAGTGATGGTAAATCTACACTATCGTAGTTAAGGGTCTGTGGTTTAGAAATAGACTACTTTTGTGCCCCAGTCATTTGGCATTTCCTGTGGAATAAATTAACTTGTTTGGAATGAATGAATTGACCACGTTGTTAGCATGTTACCGGTGAGTGCAGCGAAGCATACTGGAGGGTTTATTGCTGGAGGGTTGACTTTTCCTGGGTCTGAAGCCCACAGTTCATTTTCTGAGCTAGAACACATTCAGGAACACTAGTAACAAGCCAGCCCAGACTGCTGGGGGAGTTGTAGACCACGTGGGTGAGATTTTCAGTCTCCTGGACCTATAGAGTTTGTAAGTGTCATTATGTTGAAATAAATGGAATGAATCTGAGGTTCATGTTCCTAAATTCTTCTTTGTTTTTTTGGAGGTAGCAGCTTCATTTATTAAGGGCTTTGGGGGGTGGGGATGGGGGGTGCTGGTCTCAGAGGCACCAGAAGAACATTTTCCTAATTTCTGAAAATTAAATTTTGATGTTTTATATTTTGGAATGAAATTTTAACAAAAATAACATCACTAGGATTTACCTGAGTCATTAGGAGATTAGTATAGTAGTCTGAATAGATTATGGACACAAATAATGTGGGAGTTTCCTTCTTTCCTCTCATCATTTTACTTTTTTATTTTTAAAGTTTATAAAGTCTGATAGGCATTTCTTTTATGACATCTACAACCTTATTATTAGGTTTGAAGGGAAAGAAAGCAGTTTTACTGTCAAATAAGCTGACAGTGATCACATCACAGGCAATCTGCTAAAGAGATCGCAAAGAAAAAAAAAAGAAATCTCACCCTTTGATTTAGTCTGGTAGTTACAGTGTGTTACATACATGCTAATGATTATCCAAAGGAAAAATAAAACTTCTGTCTTTTGACAAGTAGGAATTTACATCTTGGAGCCAAGCACCTAGGCCTTCTGAGAAGACGGAGAGAAAGAGCAATGCTCTTCTCTTTATTATTGTTATTTTTGTATTTTGGTAAAATGCACATAATTTAAAATTGGCCATCATAACCATGTTTAAGTTCAGTGACATTAAGGACATTCACATTGCTGTGCAGTCATCACCGCCATCCATCTACAGAACTTTTTACCTTCCCAAACAGAAACTCTGTCCTCGTTAAACAACTCCTCAGCCCCCCTCTGGTTCTTCTGGTTATCCAGACCATAGTAACCTCTATTCAACTTTCTGTCTGTGTGAGTTTGGCAACTCTAGGCACTTCATCTGATGTGATCATATAGGGTTTGTCCTTTTGTGCCTGGCACCTGTCACTTGGCATGATGTCCTCAAGGTTCATCCATGTTGTAGCATGTGTCAGGATTTCCTTCCTTTTTAAGGCTGAATAATATTCTATTGCTTAGACAGACCATATTCTGCTCATCCATTCATCTGTGGATGGATGCTTGGGGCGCTTCTACTTTTGGGTTATTGCAGATAATGCTGCTATGAATGTGGGTGTACACATATCTCTTTGAGACAATGCTTTCAACTCAGAAGTGGAATTTGCTGAATCTTTGGATACTTCTGTGTTTAATACTTTGAGGGACCACCATACTGTTTTCCACAACAGCTGTACCATTTTACATTCCCACAAGCAGTGACAAGGGTTTCATTTTCTCCACACATCCTTGCCAACACTTATTATTTTCTGGTTTTTTTTTTTTTTAATAGTAGCCATCCTAATGGGTGTGAGCCATCGTAGTCTCATTGTGGTTTTGATTTCTATTTCTCTAATGACTAGTGAAGTTGAGCATCTTTCCCTTTGCCACACTCTTATTTGAAAGAAATGTTTTTTCTTGCTTTTAAAACCACTGCACCCAATTCTTTTTTTTTTTTTTTCTGGTTGTGCGAATTTATTTTGAAAATTACATTTGTTCAAGTTAGATTTACACTTGATATTCATTGTTGGGTTGCTGTTCTCTCAGTTTCCCAGGTGCTTTGTGTGTCTGCCTTGTGCTATTAATTTTCCCGTGGCCTTATTGGTCAGATCCACAGAGGCAAACGCAAGTGTTTTTCCTTGCTTCAGAATATGTGCTGTAATAACTATATCTTCTCCTAGTTTAGCAGGTGACATGTACCTTGAAAGGAAAAAAGTTTAAATATAGTTAATGGCAAATAACTTTTAAGAGGAAAAGTTGTGTGCATCTCATAATAGCCTTCCTATATAACTTTTTACTCCTAAAAATAGTTTAATACTAATATTGGTAAGCTTTCTGTACTACTGTCAAATGTAAATGGCTGGTCCTGACCAGTTATTCCGTCTTACTCACCCATTCCTTATCCACACATTTCTTTTCCCATAAATACGGTTTTCTTGCCCTTACCCTTTCCCCTTTTAAGTTTCTCACTTCATACTTATTTGGGGCTGGTGAAAGATTGCTCTAGCTTTTATTTAATCTTAGCTTCCTAGGTAAAGTATCACTTGGTGTCTATACCTTGTCATATCAATATTTAAAATTTATTCAACTCTAAAATGACTTAGTATAAGAACTATAAGAAATTGATATGAGGTCCTTACAATCCTGGTGATGAGTTGTATACGCATATTTCCAAAACTCTATCAAAGCACTTAGAATTGGCCATGGCCTTTAAGACCTCCACCGCACTTCGTCTCATGCCGTTCATCGCGGAAGGTGTCCCTCACCCAATTCTTATAGAATAAAGAGATATATAAGATTTCAGGTTTCTTAAGGGGGAGAGATTTCTTTTTAGAGATTGCTAATGCATGTCGTAACATTTAAATCACCCTTTTAAAGTAAACAGCAGTCTCCCATCAGATTGGAGTTGACTTGTTTTCTCATTTTTCAGTTGGACTCGAGTAGGGAACAGAAGCCTGAGAGGAAGAGTAAGGTTTGCTCACCTGATACCTGTTGACTAGAGTTCTGTTGGGTAAAGTTCAGAGCCTGTTTTTTTTTGTTGTTGTTGCTGCTTGTTTTGTTTTAATGAAAGAATTTATTTAGGTTGACTTATGTCCTCTTATGACCAGGTTGACTTATATCTTGTAAATCAGGAAGCTGGATGTAGGATGTGTCAGCTTATTCACTGTGCTGGTGTAAAATTGTTCTGAAGAAAGACCACTTACTGTCTATTTTCTTCGTGTCAGAAAATCTATTTATGACAGGCCATAATGTTTCAGGTCCTGTATGGAAAGTATGAAAAATAAGCAGTAACTGACATTTATGGAGTGGTTATTATTTGCGAATGGTTCTGAGCTGTTTACATGGAGTGTGTTGAATCACTGCAGCTATGCTGTGAGGTAAAGGACTACTGTTATTTACTTTTCCAGGTGAAGAGAAGGAAGTACAGACAATAGCAAAGGAGTCGGTGGAGGTCATGCACCTGGTGCCAGAGACACAGGAGCTCACTGCAGAGGTGCTTCATCACTGGAGATGAGCAGTAAGTAACAGTGTTAAGTTCTCATTCTTATGGGGTTGTCCCCACAGCTGCTTTTCAGAATTAATAAATAATTGTATTTGCCAAGTAAGCTTGGGAATTTTTTAGTCATTATTCCTTGTAAAAATACTGAGTTTTGATGTATCTACATGTTTAGTAAAGAAACTCAGAACCACTGAGATAGAAAAATTTACCCAGGAATCTGTGGTAAATTCATAATAGCATAAAATTATTGTCTTGACCTAAGCGTAAAGTACTTCCTTGGCACCTAAAATGGGACATTTAGCTTCTATGTAAACTGTTCAGCAGTAACTTCACCTATCCTGTGTCTTGGGGAGGAAGAGGCTGAGAGGTGATGTGATTCCCGTGCTTGCTGTTCCCAGCTGGAGTGTGGTGTTGGACATCAGCTCCCTTGTCACACGATGACAGCTGAAAGGAGATGCCCCTTCGTGTCATGGAAAGGAGTTGTGGGAGTTTTGCTTCCTTCCTTCTAAGCTGGCATTTTGATACAGTAGTGATGGCAGCCATGACAAAAATTAACCAGGGCCTGTGGACTTTAAAGTGGCAGAGCATCTCAGTGGGTACTAGCCTGGGGTTTTCAGTAAAGTGGCAGCTCCTAAGTCAGAGTGTGGTTTACTTTGGTTGGTGGGGGATTTTACTCTCTTTTAAGGGCCATCTGTAAGTACGTAGTTTTGGGAGCTTACTTTTTAAAGTTGTTTTATACTTTTGGGGCATTCAAGATGAAATAATCTTCTCAACATTGTATTTAGTAGTTTTTATTCACTTCTAAAATTAAAATTAAGAACTAGAAAAACAAATTTCCTTGTGTTATGTCCAGACTGAGCCAGAAGGTGGGATGCAGGGAAGAGCAGAAACATGAATAAGGAGGAGAAAGTCGCTTAGCACGGGAGAGGGAAGAGTGGAGTGAAAAACCCCAAGAGACCCGAGGAAAGGACAGGGCAGCTCAAAGCTACCAGACCCCGAGTCCCCAGAGCTTAAGCCCTAGTATTTAATTTTTATCTCTAACTAAATAACTGCCTCCTAAGTCCTATTTTGACACAATCCAGAATCTTTTCCCTATCCCCATCCAAACCTGGCATCATATCATCTTTTCGTCCCTGATCTAATCCTCTACCAGACTTTTTTTTACCAGGCTTTCCGTGACTTAAATCTTAAGGTCTCTCATAAACATTCTTAGTTTGCTTGACTCTGTTTCTTCATTCATGAATTCATAGTTAACTGAATTCCATGCTTAGGGCTTTCCTGCTTCTCTCCACTGGACTGTCTGTGGAAGGATTTCTATTTTTATGTAATAGGCTTTTTGAGACTTTGCTTTTAGGCTGTGAGTTTCACTTTTCAGGTGACTGTTACTTCATTCACCTAATAAAGTGGTTTTAAATAGTCTTTCAGCTGATGTCTTGTGTCTTGTAGAATATTAACTTTTTAAAAAAGTAAACTTTATTTTGGAATGATTTTAATTTTATAGAGAAGTTGCAAAGATAGTACAGAGAGTTCCAGAATATCCTTTACTCTGCTTCCAGGAATGCTAACTTCCTACTAGCTAGTATAGTGATCAACGCTGAGAAATTAGCATTCGTAGAATTCTGTTAACTGCATTGTGGACTTTATTCAGATTTCCTCCATTTTCCCACCAGCGTCCTTTTCTGTTTGGGACCCCATCCAGGACCCCAGGTTGCATTAGGCCTTGGTCTCCTCTGTCCTTTCTGGTCTGGGGTAGTGCCTCAGCTTGTCTCTTGTGGTCTTGACATTTCTGAGATCAGGTGCTTTGTGGAATGTCCCTGATTTGGGTTTGTCTGAAGTTCCCTCAGGGTTAAGTTATACTGTGTGTTTGGGGCGGTGGTCGGCTCAGCCCCCCACATGACAGGCGGCATCAGTGAGGCACAGCTGGTCCCAGTGTGAGGTGCTGTCTGCAGGTGCTTGCTCTGCAGCAGCCATCCTTCCCTATGCTGTTTGTTGTAACATCCTCCTCCTCTGAAAGCAGTCACTGAGCCCAGCCCACATTCCAGGGAGAGGGGACCAATGGCAGCTGTTGGGGAAGAGATGTGCCTTATCCTTTGAATTCTTCTGTAGGGAAAATTAGTCTCTTCTTCCCCTTTCATTTCTTTAATTGTTTATTTACATCAGTTTGGACCCGTGTACTCGTTTTATAGGGTTATAAGCAATTCATTTTGGGTTGTGTCCAGTACTGCTTTACTTATCTTGCTGCCCATGTTGTTCTGCCTCTGGCCTTGTGAGCTCTTTGGGGTTGGCCCCTGTGACACCACCATCCCTTTGTTTTGGGTACATATCCTGGCTTCTGGCCTTACAAGGTCCTCTGGTGTGTTTCGTGCTCCAGCATCAGCCCTGGTTCCTTTGGTGGGGAAGAGTGTTCAGAAGCCCAGGTCTGGGCACTGGCGGCTCCTGCTTGGGGGTCCCTGGGACAAGGGCATCCACGTGGACTAACCCATGTATACACCAGCTCTGCCATCATTTCTGTACCTACCTGCCTGTGTGTCTCCTCACCTAATCGCCAGTTCTCCCCAATCTCCCGGCCAGTCCAGCAACATGGGCTTCCTTCTGGCCTCCTCCTTTCCTTACTTGTAGCTTCCTTCTCTGACAGCGGGAACCTGGCTCATGTACAGTATGCTTCAGCCCTTGAGTTACTGTAAAATGATTTCAGAATGGTTCACCTAGACCTGGGAGACACACTTACCAAGTGGAGCACAGTGTTTGTTTTCCAGAGTTGCTCTGGCCATTCCTTCTTCCCCACCAGGTTCAGTACCAGCTCAGTGAGGTTATTTTGTGCATGTTATAATGCAATTAGACACATTTGTCCTTCTGCATGCTCTCCCAGCATCCCTGACATCCTGGCTGATTTGTTTTTTAACTTGCATACATTAAAGTTTATTCCTTGTGATGTACAATTTTACGATTTTGGCAAAAGCATAGATCCAGCCCAGGTTGCATTTCCTCATAATGGATTTTTCACATGGGGGAAGAATACTAGAATTTTATTTACAGTGGTAACTGGGCAGGTCATCCCAGCCTCTTTTTTCAGATCTAGGTTGGAAAGCCACTGTGAGTGAGACATCTTTCCCCCACTCTGGGACAGTGTTCTTTACCAGCCTGGGAAGCTGGCAGCCAGTAGGCACTCGTAGAGATGTGCCTCAGCATCTCTGGACCCCTAATCATGTTGGGGACAAGGCTGGGCTCTGATCTGCTCTCAGCCTCAGTTTTCTGGAAGAAGGAGGTCAATAACCTGTCTCACAGATATAAATAGGGAGTGTACAGTACTCAACTCGTCACAGTTTTGTTTTGTCCCACCTCCTCTGCAAGCTGCGTGGGTCTTATGCAACAGCTGTTATGCAGCCTCACTGTGATTAGAATTCATGGGGTGGGGGGAGGTAATATCTAATATGTGGCCAACTTGGTAATGAAAGAAAGAACAGGGGTCTGGCTGTTGAGGTCTTACGCTACAGTCTTGGAGGCCCCAGAGGCTTGGCTGGAGCATGGCCTGCCCAGCCCAGGCACTGCAGGACAGGGAGCCTGGCAGCAACAAGGTTTGGAGAGCTCAGACCTGAGGCTGCATTTCCCTTACTTTGCTTCAGGAAAGTCATTCTGTTTCATTGGTTATAGAAACTTAAGGGGATATTTCACTTATCTAATAGTTGAGATATATTCCTGAAATGCTATATTTCCAAACAATGGGAAACTTTCACTTATTTTAATTTTTTTTTTTTTTTTAAAGATGACTGGTGAGGGGGTCTTAACCCTTGACTTGGTGTTGTCAGCACAACACTCTCCCATGTGAGCTAACCGGCCATCCCTATATAGGGATCCAAATTCGTGGCCTTGGTGTTCTCAGTACCACACGCTTCCAAGTGAGCCACAGGCTGGCCCTTATTTTAACATTTTTGATGGAAGTATTTCTCAGAAGGGTTGTATATTTAATAAGATACCTTGAACAGTGTGTGTTTTGACTGTTAAAATCATGAAAGCCTGTTACTGTATTTATGGTAATGAATGGTATTGGCCTCTAGAAGATGCCCCCACTCCCTGTTCTGCCCTGTGCTTCTTTGGTGTGCTTCAGTGTGGCAGGGTGTTC